ATTTTCAAATATTGTCCTATCCTAACAAACCATACATCAATGGAAAGCTTATTTATTCAGCGTTCAGATGATGCTGTTCTTTCTCAATTTAAAAAGATTGACCCTTATGACTGGTTTTGTGGTCCAGGGTCACATATAAGGTTCAGATATTCCAATAAAAGTGAGTTAAAGGGGTCATGACACGAGAAATCAAATTTGCCTTGATCTTTTGGCATTTAAGAGGTCTTTGTACCATTAAAACATCCTGCAAGTTTCATAGCTTAAAACCTCCTCCTCATTATAAACAAAGCATTATTTAATCAAGCTCCAAAAACAGCTCGTCTGGATCCGAGGGGCAAGATGATGTCACCAAAGCGCATAAACACAAATTTGCATAAACACGCCGCCAGAGCAAGACATCGACGAATAGTCTTCTTCTCAGCATAGGCCCCACCCACTGGCGTTCAGTCGCTTGATCACGCTGAATGAGAGCGTCGCGTCAAAAGCACATAGAAATAACAATCACTGCGCTATCTCGTCTACACTGGATACAGTAAACAGATATGAGTCTGTCGTCAGGACAAATGCAGTGAAAGAACATTCGCTTTGACACGTTTGGTTTAAACAGCTCATTCACGTCTTTGTACAGATATCAGAAGGAGCCCAGCGTAAGGAACAAGAGGATAGTTTATTTTTAATGGCGTCCCGGATCGTGTTGGAGGATTTTGTTTTGTAATCGAGGCACAGTGTCAGGGAGAATCACAAAGAAACATCTGTTGAAAGATGAAGCGGCACTAGATCTGACTGCAGCTGCTTCACAAACTGTAAGTACATGATTTCATAATGCTTTGTCTGGAAATGACTGCTTTATTTTGATTTTGTTTTCAAAACACTCACATGCAATAGCAAGGGGGCGTTGATACTGTTTCCTATGCAATGACATTAGCCAATCATAACAATGGCTGATTACTAGGGCTGCCCCCTAATAGTCGACTAATCGTTAGTCGACCAGAGGAGGCTTGGTCGACCAAAATTTTATTAGTCGCTTAGTTGCAGAAAAAAAAATCCACAGGCGAAGTCACGTAGTCCATGATGGACAGATCGTTAATGGCTGGTCTATGTGGTAATACAGTACATCCACCTCAAATATGGCTTATCATCTGATATATGTAAGTATTAGCAACTTTACATGGCCACTCAATCTGATGTTAACCTAGAGAAATGTGCACTATTAAAGTGTCTGTGTGGAAGCTGAACAGTAGCTCACTGCAGGACAGATGGAGGCGCCGGTGCTCACTCGCTCTTAAAATACTCATTTTTTCTCATTCAGATAAGAGTAATACATCTTTCGAATCTGTAAAGACTCTACGTTTATTTGTGTGCACTCACAATAAAAACAAATCGTGCTTTTGTAAAATAATGAAAGCAAACATTATGCGCTTTCTGCCGTCTCGGTCTCTGTGAACTTGTGTGTGAAACTCCGTTTATATCTTTGCCTTACAGACATTAAAGATATATAAACATATAGAGAGTGAAGTGTCTACTTTCAAATTAACCAATTCAAATGGAAAACAAATATTCTCAATTATGTAATCCGTATTAAACATGCATACAGGCGCATCACTACTGCAGAGATGACGAGTCAGTGTCGCCGACTTCATCTCTTAAACCGAGAACAAAGAAAGCACTAGTTTATCAATTAATTATTTAAATATTAATGCAGTTTCCTTACTGTTTTTCCCTGACACATTCATAATCATTACTTCTGCCGGTGTGCCGTGGCAAGCTTTATGCGTGTGCTGGAGCGCATGCGTGTAATTAAAGGCTCATTATTATGATTTAAATGATTTATTAATAAACGTGCGATTAGTCGACTAATGCTTAAAATGAACAACTTCTAGTTGACCAGAAAAATCCTTAGTCGAGGACAGCCCTACTGATTACTGACAAGCCTTAAAGGACCCGCCCCTTAAAAAAAGGTCATTTTAGAGAGAGAGTCAGAATGAGAGTTGAAAATAATCATTTTCCCTCATATTTATTTGTTTTTAAAATATCCATGTCATGACCCCTTTAATTGGCCAAAAAAATTTTTATTATAAGTTTTTTTTTCCTAACATTCCTATTACATATTGAAAACGTGATTTCTGAATGTTCTCTGAATCTGCAAGGCTTCAAAATGTTTTAAAAACATTAAAACATGAACATTAAGGAAACGTACAATTTTATAATTTATTGATTGTATCATTATGGCAATGTTACTTTTGAATGTTTTCTAAATGTTCTGAAACAAGTTTAAAAAAACATTAGATGGGCGTCCAACTGATATGTTTAAAAAACTGTTCCATGAATGTTCTAAGAATGTTTGTTCATGACTTTAAAAGAACCTTGGCAGAACGTTCTGAGAACATTTCCTGTAAGCTGGGCAGAGATCAGAAGAACTGAAGGGGGGTTAGAGTTAAGGTTAGGTTAGGTTAGGTTAGGTTAGGTTAGGTTAGTCGCTGGTCAGGACTCTGACCTGGTCATGCCAAAGTCGCACACCTTCACCGCGTTCCTCTCGTTCACCAGGCAGTTCCGCGCGGCCTACGGACACACACACACAAACACAGTATCAGTCCCTGATATACTGCAGTCGTCCGTAACTGGGTGTCATTTCTGGATTCATCTGACTGCTGAGGTGTTGTCTGTAATCACAGATCTCTGTCGCTGTTGTACATCAGCACAATACACAGAGCAAAGCACAATAATCTGCTGCAGCGTCAGCATTAGCTGAACCAACCGGAAAAACAACATTTATGCTTCTGCCGCTGTCTGATCGACTGATGTACATGTGAATTGTGCGATCAGTTTGTATGTTGTTTATTTACCTCTGTCTTGAGGCAAACAACATGCTCTTCATACCGATACGTGAAGCAGCATTCTTTATTGTAGGAAGTGCTATAAAAATAAAGGTGACTATCTATTTAGATCTATATTTATTCATCTATACATGTTTGTTTCACAGACTGCATGGCCTTAAAACCATCGAACCTCAAACTTTTAAAATATGGCCAGGCTCTGTTTTGTTTTGACAAACTTTTTTTTTTTTTGATTAAACGTATATTTTGTTTGATAATTTTAATGTTGGTGTTAATGATTCTTCACAACTAAATTTTCATCAACATCAGAAAAGAGCTGGGAAGAGCTTCAGATGTGCTGATCTTCACACCAGTGTACTCCTGTCCGCGTGTCTCAAACAGGTCCTGTGTGTTTTTGCCGTGTCTCACCAGGTCTCTGTGGATGAAGCTGCTCTGCTCCAGGTACTCCATGCCCTCGCAGATGTCCTGACACATGAAGAGCAGCTGGACGCGGCCCAGAGTTCTGCTGTGCTGCTGCAAGAAGTGCAGCAAGCAGCCGTTCTCCATGAACTCCGTCACGATGCAGATGGGACGCCTGAAGCTGCTGGTCGTCAGCATGCCTCCACACAACCTGCACACTTTAAGACACATGATACGACACCTCAGACGGTACGAACGCTCACATCACACACACACCTCAATCTATATCTGTCTCACATCTTTTCTCTTCACTAAAATCACTTTTCTTCATGTCTAAAGTCTCAATGCGTTTGAATCAGGTGATTTTTAATGGATGCATGAAATCAATTCTCCTCAAGTCATTTTTGTCTTGTTTTTCAGTGTGTGTGTATATATATACACACACACGCACGCACGCACGCACACACACACACACACACACATATACATGCACACACGCACAAACATATACACGCACACATACACACACACGCGCACACACACACACACACATACACACACACACACACACACACACACACACACAGAGGCAGAGTTTCAGCTCTGTAAACTCAGAGTTAAGCGAATCAGTTCTCAACACAAATTCAGAGCTGCAGAATGAAGGTGTTCAGCGGCTCACATTCTTAAAAACAAAGGTTCCAAAAGGGTGTTTTTGCAGTGATGCCATAGAAGAACCCTTTTTGGTTCCCAAAAGAGCCTTTCAGTGAACAGTTACTAAAAGAACCGTTTGAAGAACATTTTAAAAATCTAAAGCAACTTTTTCGACTACAAAGAACCTTTTCTCCATTTGAAAGGTTCCATGGATGTTCAAGGTTCTTAATAGAACCATTGATGCCAATAAAGAACCTTTATTTTTAAGAGTGCAGGTCACTGATGAAAGTTAACACTGAGATATCAGCCAATCGGAGTGCAGTCACAGACATTGACATTCAATGATGAGCTGCCTTTACAGTTTTTTTCAGCTGCTTACACACAAAATCTTTACTTGCCACAAGATTTCTGAAAGCTGACACTCAAACAGCAGAAGCACACACCAAATCTGCAAAACCATACACTAATACTCAGCCTTCATAAAACACTTTTTGTAAAACACAACACAATTCTCTATGTAACACACACAAATCTGACAGGAATTAATATTATGCCAAAGGTGTTTGCAAATGTTTGCTTTTGAGATGTGTTTTTGATATTTTGAATGCAGTGCTTCATTTTGCAAGAGATGTGAGGCATTCTGCATTTTGTGTGTGCAATTAACACACACACCACACGTCTGTGGTCATGACGTCATTTGAAAAACTGGTGCTGGCCCACCTGAAGGACATCACTGGACCCTTGCTGGATCCTCTTCAGTTTGCCTACAGAGCAAACAGGTCTGTGGATGATGCAGTCAATATGGGACTGCATTATGTTCTGCAACATCTAGACAGACCGTCTTATGTGAGGATCCTGTTCGTGGACTTCAGCGCGGCTTTTAACACTATCATCCCAAACCTCCTCCTGCCCAAACTAACTCAGCTCTCCGTGCCCATCTCCGTCTGTCAGTGGATCGGCAGCTTCCTGACAGACAGGCAGCAGCTACCCTTACGAAAAAGAAGTTTATTCAAGTGTGCTATTAGTATACTTCTTTTAAACTAAAAATAGGAAAGTATACTTTCAGTCTACTTTTTATGTACTTCCCAGTCATGGGCTTTATGTACTTTACTATGTACTTTAAATGACATTTAAGTATACTTGACTTATACTTAGAAAAAGTCTAAATATATTTGAGCTATACTTGTGCTCGTCGACTCCATCTACGTTTTGATTATCATTCTGAATCCAATTCATAGTCTTTTTTCAGCTTTTTGTTCAAAATGTTTTGTTTTTTTTTGTTTTTTTTATGAAACTTACCCACATTCAAGTGTTTATAAAACAAAAAAAAGAATGCATGAAGCTAGAATAAAATGTTTTTGTTTACACCATCCTCTGCACTTCAATAACTGTCTGGTTCAGCTCAGCTACCAAATCTGACCTCAGAAGACTTCAGAGGGTAGTCCGGACTGCTGAGTGAATCATTGGTACAACCCTCCCTTCTCTCCAAGAACTGTACTTATCCAGAGTGAGCAAAAGGGCTGGCAGAATCACTCTGGACCCCTCACATCCAGCACACTCCCTCTTTGAACTGTTGCCATCTGGTCGACGCTACAGAGCACTGAGCACCAGAACGACCAGACACAGGAACAGTTTCTTCCCTCAGGCCATCCATCTCATGAACACTTGACAATAAACATGGAACACACAACACTATTATACACTTATATACTTATTTATCTAACACACATACTTAGTTTACATTTCGAATTTGCACATAATATACCTGTATATACAAAACTGTCTATTGTAATATACCTGTACATACAATTGTCAATCTGTATATTGTTATTCCCTATTTACTTGTTCTATTTTTATTCTTTTATTATCTGTGTTTTTTGTTCTGTCACTGTCATTCTGTTACACTGTGGAAGCTTCTGTCACGAAAACAAATTCCTCGTATGTGTAAACATACCTGGCAATAAAGCTCATTCTGATTCTGATTCAATTCTTGGATTTGTGTGTAAAGTTTTGAAAAAAAGAGGCAAAATTTTGAAAATGTAAGCAGTTGCAAAAAAACTGTAATATTTGAGATACGTTTTCATAACATTGAAAGAACACATTCTGAGATCAACATTCTTTGAATGTTCTTATGATGTCATTTGTGCTTGAACGTTATAAGAAAAAATTTTGTAACCTTTAAATAATATTTAACACTAATAGAATATTAAAAAATAAACATTCAAATAACATTATGGGTGAAAATAAAGTTAATTTGGGGGAAAATAAAGTTGTTTTGTAACCTTTAGATAACATTATAATCATGATAAGAAAACTGGAGATTTTAATGTTCTTAGAATATTACAAATAAACATTCAAATAACGATATATTTTGGGTCAAAATAAAGTAAGTAGAACGCTTAAGAAATGTTTTGGTAACATTTGAATGCTTTTCAAATATTAAAACAAACGTTCAAGTAACATATTTTGGTTAACAAAAAAGTTAGTATAATGCTGTAAGAAATGTTTTTGCACCCTTTAAATAATGTCATAATTAAGATGAGAAAACTGGACATTTTAACGTTTTAGAAATATTTCGAAACAATGTTCCCACAATGTTTTTATACCTAATTTTGTGACCCAGGAACAAAGCTAAAGCATAGATCTTTGCAATCTCATGGAATCAATGATGGAGAAAGACTTCAGCAAACGCCTCTGTCTGATCTCTGTTTAACTTCACTGAGAGATTACAGAGATCTCACTCATATTTTCTCTCTCCTGTGACGTGTTTCCATCACACACACCTCCAGATTTTTCCAGAAGCGTCTGAGCGACTCGCAGAGCAGACTGAATGAGAAACAGACGCTGAATGAAGGATTGATAAGAATCTAACACTCGCAGCTCAGGAAGTCTCACACACACACACACTCTCACAAACACACACGTCTACCCACCCACCCACCAACCACACTTTCCAGCTTCTCAGCAACTTTCCACTTGTTCATTGTGTGTGTGTCTTACGTCATGATCTTAGCTTCCTCTATGAAATCATCGTCACTCATGGCTCCTTCATTGATGGTTTTAATGGCCACTTTATGCTGCGCTCTCCATTTTCCCAGCCGCACCACTCCAAACTGACCACTTCCCAGCTCCTTCATGAAGGTCAGCTCCGACGGGTTGATCTCCCATTTATCTGCACACACACATCAGCATGTGATGTAGTCGTCAGCTCTAGTTTATTAATGGACGTTAATGAGTTTTCCTGTAGCTCAGAGAGTAGATCATCGGAAACATTAAGGTCAAGGGTTCGATTCCCTGGGTGCGCGAGAACCGATCAAATGTAAATACTCTGAATGCAATGTAATTTGCTTTGGATAAAAGCGTCTTCCAAATGCATTCATGTAAATGTCATTAGGTTAGATCTGCCCACTTAGACAGGAAATAACACGCAAAGAGTTATTTTTACTCAATGGGATCAACTGAATTCAATGCAAAGCTGCTTTTTCTGACACCGTTGACAGATATTTGTTCTTGTTTTAATCAAGACTTCTAACCCTAACGAACCCAAACCCGATCTTGCTTTATTCATATTGTCACACTATTGAGGGAACATGCTGGAGTCCCAAGGAAATGTTTAACAGTCTTTAATCACGAAACACAGGAGATAATCCACAATAGGCACTTGAGTCAAAACACGTAGAGAACGAGTAGACCTGACAAACACAAACTGAACAGACTAGGACTTAAGTACACAGGGAAATGAGGATAATTAACTAAACACAGCTGGAAACAAATGATGAACTAATCAGAGAACCTAATGGAAACAGGAAGGACCAAATAAGGAAACACAGGACGGACTACGGGGGCAAAACAGGTCCAAAAGTCTGACACATATATTCATTTATTATTTATTTCTCCATAGCACCTGCAAATGCTCTCCCCTCCTCTGCACATTGATACACGTACAGCTGTATTCATTTAGTTTGATTCATCACTGAACATTAATTTAATTGCTTTGTATAATGAGTTTTCCTAAATGTTATGTTTGAAAAAGTAAATGAGGCATTGTCTAGTTCAATTTGCATATATTTCCAGAACAGAAATCTGAATCCAGGTTCAATTGATAAGAATCTAACACTCGCAGCTCAGGAAGTCTCACACACACACACACTCTCACAAACACACACGTCTACCCACCCACCCACCAACCACACTTTCCAGCTTCTCAGCAACTTTCCACTTGTTCATTGTGTGTGTGTCTTACGTCATGATCTTAGCTTCCTCTATGAAATCATCGTCACTCATGGCTCCTTCATTGATGGTTTTAATGGCCACTTTATGCTGCGCTCTCCATTTTCCCAGCCGCACCACTCCAAACTGACCACTTCCCAGCTCCTTCATGAAGGTCAGCTCCGACGGGTTGATCTCCCATTTATCTGCACACACACATCAGCATGTGATGTAGTCGTCAGCTCTAGTTTATTAATGGACGTTAATGAGTTTTCCTGTAGCTCAGAGAGTAGATCATCGGAAACATTAAGGTCAAGGGTTCGATTCCCTGGGTGCGCGAGAACCGATCAAATGTAAATACTCTGAATGCAATGTAATTTGCTTTGGATAAAAGCGTCTTCCAAATGCATTCATGTAAATGTCATTAGGTTAGATCTGCCCACTTAGACAGGAAATAACACGCAAAGAGTTATTTTTACTCAATGGGATCAACTGAATTCAATGCAAAGCTGCTTTTTCTGACACCGTTGACAGATATTTGTTCTTGTTTTAATCAAGACTTCTAACCCTAACGAACCCAAACCCGATCTTGCTTTATTCATATTGTCACACTATTGAGGGAACATGCTGGAGTCCCAAGGAAATGTTTAACAGTCTTTAATCACGAAACACAGGAGATAATCCACAATAGGCACTTGAGTCAAAACACGTAGAGAACGAGTAGACCTGACAAACACAAACTGAACAGACTAGGACTTAAGTACACAGGGAAATGAGGATAATTAACTAAACACAGCTGGAAACAAATGATGAACTAATCAGAGAACCTAATGGAAACAGGAAGGACCAAATAAGGAAACACAGGACGGACTACGGGGGCAAAACAGGTCCAAAAGTCTGACACATATATTCATTTATTATTTATTTCTCCATAGCACCTGCAAATGCTCTCCCCTCCTCTGCACATTGATACACGTACAGCTGTATTCATTTAGTTTGATTCATCACTGAACATTAATTTAATTGCTTTGTATAATGAGTTTTCCTAAATGTTATGTTTGAAAAAGTAAATGAGGCATTGTCTAGTTAAATTTGCATATATTTCCAGAACAGAAATCTGAATCCAGGTTCATAATTCTTGTCTGATTCTGTCGTCATATTAGAGTTAAAGGTTTTTCCAGAGAGGATTCTGAATTTCTCTTTTTATCACTCCATAAATCAGAAAATACTGTCAACAGACAGAAAACAAACACATTTTCACCATGTTTTTAGGAGTGAAATGTTGTATAAATCAGTGTGAATGAAATATGAACAAACCTTCAGAATATAGAAAGGAATAAAACTGTACAGTTTGGTGTTTGCAAGAGGAAAAAACTCTTTAAAGATTGAAATCTACAGACGCAAACAGATAAAGTGCAATAAAATAAACACTTAAATGTGCGTTTCAGATGTTTTCTTTCCACTAGTCTGAAAGAACAGACATGATATGGAAGCAAAATAGTGCAAAATCTCAAAAATTGAGCAGTGCATGAAAACACACTGGTTAGTCTGTAGTGTCTTGAGCTTACAGGGTCTTTTATATGTGTTATTACTAGTTTTAATTTGCTCTGATTCTAAAAGTGCAGCGGTTGATGATGGTCCTTCATGTGTGTGTGTGTGTATGTGTGTATGTGTGTGTGTGTGTGTGCGCGTTTTTGTGACAAATGAGGACATAAATTTGTATAATGACAAAGGTATGACATAGGTATTACAAGGAGAAGGTGACTTTTCAGGACATTACCCCATGTCCCCACTTCTCAAAACGCTTATAAATCACACAGAATGGAGTGTATTGAAAATCTGAAATAGATGGGTACTACAACATAAACATGGTTTATGAGGACACTTCCTGTGTCCCCGTAAAACAAAAGGCTTAAAAAGCATACAAAACTGTGTTTTATGAAATTCAAAAATTGTCAGTAGTTTCCTGTAAGGGTAGGTTTAGGTATAGGGTTGGTGTAGGGCAATAGAAAATAAACATTTTC